ACTCGTTATCTCCTTTCACGTGGGAGGTTGTAAGCCTTCGATTACTTCCATTGGCGCGTAACGTTAACTTACGGAGAAACTTAACGTGTCTCGTTTTATTCTAAATCAAACCTTAAGTGCGCTCAGCGTGCTCCCCTATCATCCAGTGAGGCACTATCGTTTTTATTGTTATCTTCCATTTTACATAAGATTTCGTGTCAGTTACTATAGTATGTGCCAAATCGATTGAGAAAAAATGGACAATGACCCTTCGGTCGTTTAACCAGGGGTTTCAAACCTTCAATATATAGGCAATTTTTATATCTAGTACTTTCTTTATTTATCCCTTTACAACCGGACAAATAAGTTAAGATTTATTGTAATTTATGATATAGGTCGTATTTATAGAGCATAAGCCACGTAGGGAAAATACTGAAAAAATTCGGAAAAGCTAGGTTTTCCTGAAAATCGCCTGCACGTTCGTGCACTTTAGGATTAGTTTTACATACGCACATTTGTGCGTCTTTATGGATTTGTGTGTTTATTGAGGTAATTAGACAACAATTATGAATTAAATAATTATTTTTAGAAAAAATAAGTATTAATATAATAATCAGTCTTAATAATTATTATTATTAATAAGTATCAAAATAAGGAACATTTTCTTATTAAACATTAACTTAAACTTTTTTATGTAATTAAACCACAATTAACAAGTAATTAAACGTTAAGTAATCATGAAAATTTAACAAAAATAGTAACAATTATTATCTAATAACATTTTTGGCATATTATTAAAAAAAGTAAATTAAAAAAAACAATTAGTTACAATGAAATTTTTTAAGGCAATTCTGTCCTCGAATTACACAAAGATAAGCGTTACATTTCAAGCAACGAATTTTTGTGCGGCTTCTACATGTTTCTAATTGGCAAAATCTAGGCGATTTTAAATCATCGAATACCGGCAAATGATCATACCCATCGTACCGTAGTGTTGCCGATGGCATTAGAGCTTTTTTAAATTTCCTCGGCATTATGTTTTCAACTTCCTCCATGCCTTCTGTGCGACGTTTTTCAGGAGAGACTCAGATATCTCAAGACGAAAGTCTAATAAATCTAGTGTTTTATTCCGTCTGTAATTATTGAAAGTGCAATCTATTTTGTAAGAGTTTCTGTATCTCAGACTTCGTCATTTTTAATTCACTCCCAGTCTTTCTCAAATAATATAAATTTGTGCAAGTACTGACCATTTCAAAAAACTGGTCATCAAAGTAATCTTTCACGTAATTAATTGGTTGTCTTACCAATTTAATAGGTCGTTTGGGGTACGTATGCTGCTTATCTTCAAACAAAGTAACTCTCCAGTGACTAGACACGGACATTTAGCAGTCGGTACTACGGAAGAAGGTGTTGGTACGGACTGGTCTACTTGACTCTTGGTCTTGGTACTAGACTGCCTTCTATCTGGTCATATTTTTGATTTTCAGCAGGATCTTCGGGTAAATCAAGGTTACCTAGATTGTTCAAGACAGCAGGATTAAAAACGGTTCCTCTTCGTCGGAGTCGTTAAAACACTCAATGTCCTAATCATTGCCGTCACCCAATACTTGTAAAATGTCTTCGTCATGCATGCAGCCTAAAAATTCAAAAATAACCACTTAAATTACATCGTACAACGAAATAAAATAACACTGTAATTATATTAAAAATGTATAAGTAACACCTGAAATGCACGAACGTGCATCTTTAAATTTGATGCAGAATAAAATATATAATATATTTTTATTTACTCTCACAATTTAAATTAACAAGTTAGAGTATAAACAGTGTACACTATGGGCTGAGAGTCTGGTGTCTATACTAGGCGGAAGCCTGTGTTACGGATCACCAGATTAATGAATTAATAATGAACATAATTACAAAAATACGTAATAATATTATGAGTTGGTTTATTACTAATAGAATAAAATAGTTTAATACTAATATTCCATTAAAACACAAGAAAATAATTATACTTACTTGAAGCGCCTCGCCCGCCAAAATACGCTGCCATTTCCAACGAGGTACAGTGGCGCAGACGAGTCATAACTCGTATTATTATGTTTTTTATTAAGGACTATATCATGCGATATCGGTTGCGTTCGGTAAAATAAGTTATGGGAAGCGCTAGATTTTTTCAATGTTAAATGCACGCTTGACTATGAGTCGGTTGTAAAGGGGTTGTAAAGGGATAATGATTTTTTTTATAATGATATATAATATATATTAACTATTATTAAAAAATTATGTAAAACATCGCTGTAGAAGAAAAATCATCTATTGTTATAAAATACTTTATTCATTTAACAACAAAAACCATTAATTTATAACACATATAAAGATTCGAGTGATAACGACACCGATAAGTACGTACTTATTCAAAAGATAAAACTTTATTTTCAATATTATATAAGAACTTTATTTTTATTCGGTGCAATTATCGGCCCAAAAACGGTGACGCACATTTTTCACGTTTCTTTTAGAACAAACGAACTTGTTTATTTTAAAGGGATGAATTTGAGAAAGCTCAATATGGTGATTATATTGCTTCAAATATTTTAGAATTTTTAATAATATCAATATTTAAATATTGTTATCACATCTAAATTGAGATTTTGTAAATTACGCCTTTTAACACTCGGCTCATATCTGAGGTCATTGTCCGTTTTTCTCAATCAATTTAGCACATACTATAGCTCATCCCCTCAGTTGAAAAGAAGCATGTTTATTTTATTCATACATATCATTTACTATCTTTTCGGCCGTCGTCACATCGGGAAATGCCTGTAGATAGTCATCCATATGAAAATTACTGCTTCTGGATAGAGATGTGCGTTATCTTGCGCATTTTTATTTTTGATATAAATCACTGTACAAGGAGATGACGCCACTCCGAAAAAAAGTCAGGTCATTCTATGCTCTTCCGGTAGCGCATCACAATTGTGGCGCGACAGAAATTGGCGACTGTGTCTGTCATCTTTGCGAATTTTCACTTGAACGTATATGTCTTTAATATCAGCCATTACTGTTTTTTTTCTTTCTCTGCGACCCCTTTTCCCTTATGGATGACATTATCGTCTGCTTCTCGTATTTCTTTTTTAAATCCGCATATTTATCGACCTTCTTTTCGACCTTAGTAAGGCGACTTGCAGACTGCGCTCTATTTGACGGCTTTCTTTCGCTATCCGATCACCATAATACAGATATATCTTATAGATACAGATAAACCAGATTCGTATCTGTTATCCAGCAAACGACGTACCGTATGCTTTAAAATATTCAACGCTTGCTCTTCGGGGTGATTAACCACCGTGTCCGTGGCTATACCAAACGATTCAAGATTGAAATAATCATTTATTAACTTTTCCATATTCTTTTTGGAAAATATGGTTAACGGTTTTAAATGGCTTGATACCACCAGTCATGTGAACATTCAGAACCCAACCAAGTTTGGTGAGCAATACCACAGGTATGTTCTTCACTCTTGAAATAAATTAACGAATCACTATAAGATGCCAGTTATATTGACCAATTAATATGGTAGGTCTGAACCTTTCATAAAACAATTCGTTCTCTATGGGTGCTAAATGAGTACACCGCTTCAATAATTCTCAGCTTACCAGTTGCGGAGAGAGATTAAGTGCTTTAATCGTTTGCCCCTCGCGATGACGCCCAGGTAAAGAGGGATACCTCGGGACCTGAACTGTCCCCAAAACCGTATCTTCAAAAGGGGGACGAACAGAAGAAGAACACCAATTCGTTCGTGAAGTTCGGGACCAGCTACAATTTCCAGTTATAAATCAAGAAAGAAAAAAAAATAGTGAAAGTAAAGTGAAAGTTATAAAAGTAGTAAAATTTCAGTATCGCATTTCCAAGGGGCATTTACGAACAATTACTGTTTTATTTGACGTATCATTTAGCGTTCACATTGTACTGCCAAATATTTTCGTGACACTTTATTTTTACAGACGTTATCAGTTTTCGATGGTTAAATTTAATTATGTAGTGTTTTCGCATTGAGAACAATTTTAACAAAAAAAAAAATTAAGGTAACAAGCATTGCCGTCATTTGAATACAACTTTATTTAGAACTCAAATAACTACTAACAATTCACCACTATAGATATTATATTGTTCGAAAACGACACTTAAAATTAGTTAAATAGACACTATTAAATACGCTTGCGTTTAACGCATGTATAACACGGCAGGCTCAGTACAGTTCGCCGCCCTCTGCCCCGCAAGGCCCTTTCGTTGCTCTGCACGACATACATTCGTTTCCCAATTGTTAGACTCTCTTTAAACTGTGGTTAAAGTTTATTTTAGTTTATGGTAAATCACTCTTAAAGTGGGTATATAAACCACTATTATTGAAAAGAGCAGTCTCGTTCTTCATCTCACGCCCGCAGCAATAACCAACCAATTACTGGCCTAACCCTATCCTATACCACACCTCGTTGGGTTCGACTTAGAATCTTAACCAATATCTCAAAAGAAAGGTGTTGACGACTAAGATTAGGTCCTTAAGGAATGATCCCGGTCTTGACGTTAGACATGTACTTAATGCTCTGTATTTTCCCTTACTCCCCTACTTTTAGGGTGAACGATAAGGATCTTCAAATAAAACGGTATAAGTAAATGCCACTTGGAAACGCGAAACTAAAATTTTACTACTTTTATAACTTTCAGATATAAAATTAGTAATATAGTTAATAGTTTAATTAACAATTTTTATATAGCTACATAATTATACAGACGTAGTCAACGTAGGGTTAAAATGTGTAACTTCAAAGAACTTCCTATTCATTTGAACTTAAAACTTAGAATGATGAAGATAGATGAAGAAAACTTTCATATGGTATATGTCAACTCATCTTTTTCTGATCATAAGACAGCTTTACGTGGAAATCAAGAAAACAAAACCGCCCCCAAGAAAATATTATCAATACGAAGCAATAAATTATAAAGAACTTCATAAATCAATGGAGAAAGCAGGAATACAAGAATCCAATGATGACTTCACAAGACTGGAAAAATTAATAAAAAAATGTATGGAAGAAAGCAAAGTAATAAAGACCAAAATTATGAATGAACCACAAAAAGAATGGATAAACAAAAGTATCATAACAGAGATCAATGAAAGAAACTTGATGTGGACAGAACTACAGAACAACCCAGAAAGAGAAAACCTGAGAAAAAAGTTTATCACCAAAAGACATAAAATAATCAAGTTCATACGGGAAACAAAGAAGTCATATTATAAGAAGGAATTCGACAAATACAGTGGAAAGCCCAAAAAGCTATGGAATTTACGCAATACTCTTACAAATAATAAATTTAAACAAAGATGCGCTCCTCCCAAACTATTGTTAATTCAATAGAAGTTACTGATCCTCATGAGATATGCAATATATTTAATAACTTTTTCGCTACTATAGGGCCATATTTAGCTGACGAAATACCTATTCAGTTCCATGTAAATTATACTCACGCACTACCAAAACCACTTTTACAAAATTTGCAAATGAATAGTTTAGAGCCATGCACTGAAGAAGAAATCCTTAATATTATTAATAAACTTGATTCAAACAGTAGTGTCGGTCTAGATGGTATTAGTACAAAGGTTATCAAGTGTGTGAAGGACTTAATAATAAATTCATTAACGAAAAACTTTAACAAACTTTTACAAAACGGATCATTTCCAGACTCACTTAAAATAGCCAAAGTAACACCTATTTACAAATCGGGACCAAAAACAGAACCGGGCAACTATCGACCAATTTCCGTACTGCCAGTATTATCAAAAATTCTCGAAAAAGTCTTACATACACGGCTACAAAACTACTTAAACTCTGATTTTTCATTCCGTAGAATTCTGACAGCTATCATTTTTTGACATGTCAGAGATTACAAACCTTTTTGGCCGGGCACATTTTTCAATTTCAATACGTGTCTGAACATCTGAGTCTATACATACATTTTATTTGTTAGTAAATGTATCCATTTTATTAAGTGCGGTACTCTACATGGTTTTACGGCGAGTGATAATTACGTCCCTTTTCATTACAAACAGTAAAAAATGCACAAGTAAAAATAACATATTTTTATTAAAATCTTTAGTCATCATTAATACTTATATCACTATCTTCATCATCGTCATCATCGCTGACATGAATTATTAAAGAGTCTGCGACTGTGTCAATGAAATCGTCGAGAGTGCACATCTTATCTTCTTCTTTGATTGTATGGCTGATACATTCTTGCCATTTATCAGGAGTAATACTACTTATACTTTCCAGTAATAGTTTTTTAACTTCCGCCATTTTAAAACTTCTGTTGTGTCTTGCGACATGCCCCTTCACTTGAGCCCACACCAATTCAATAGGGTTGAGCTCACAATGATATGGGGGCAGTCTAAGCACAGTAATGCCTTGTGCTGTGGCCATCTCGTCTACAATACACTGTTGATATTTGTATTTCTCCTGACCCACAATTTCCAATAAATTAACTTTTAGCATTTTTTCTTCAAAATTTAAATTTTTTGAAGTCAACCACGCTTGGATATCGCCTTTTCTCCATGCACTCGTTGGTACTTTTTCGACCTTCCTCGAATGATAGGGAGCATTATCCAACACTACTACCGAGTTTGGTTTTAATTTTGGAAGTATTTTTGTGAACCACTCCTCAAATACTTCCCCAGTCATCTCCTTGTGGTAATCTGCCAAGCCTTTTTTTGCCTCAAAAACTAATAAACCATCTTCCAAAAATCCTTCTTCGCTCCCTATATGGCTAACTATAAGTCGCCCCCCTTTGCCTGTTGGTGCCTTAAGCCCTGTTGTCAAGCCATCGAGGAAAGCTTGTCGTGAAGATTGAATGTTGGTATCACACCACACTTTATTGACGGTATGTCCTGAAAATAAAAATATATTTAATATTTCACTTATACATGAGGACAGTTATATATGCATATAAATTGAAAAATATTACCTGTAAACATGGATTTCTTTATTTATTTATTCATTTTGGTAACAAAAATTTATTAACAAAGTTAATTTAAGTATTACATAAGTACAGAATTCGATTTCCGACTAATACTTTGAAGAAAAGATAGGTTATAAAAAGTTAATTACCACATAATTCAATACTTGCCTTCGTTTACCCACGTTTCATCCTGGTAATATATAAGCCTGCCTTCTCTTCTATATTGTTTAATTTGGTGCAAGTATTTTTGACGCCATAGTACTATCTCCTTGCGATCTGTTAGCGCACTTCGACGTTTGCGACTTGTGTATTTAAAATTTAAATGCTTCAATACTTTTCTTAATGTTGATTTCGACATAACAGGCATGTCTGGATCACCAGTTATCTCTTGGTGAATCTGAAATAAGCATTTACATTACAGTTAAAATGTAGACAGGCAACACAGGTTAAAGTATAGTTTTAAAACAATGGGGGATGTCAGCAACGAGGTGTTAAAGAATTAGCAATAACTTTACCTTTTCAATAGTCGGAATCTCGTTCCTGTAGAAAAACGCGTGAACCTTTCGTCGAGTTGCGGCGAAAGTGAATTCGTCAAATTTTTGTATGAAAGATAGTTGAGGTCCACTCTTTTTCGGCTTTTGAAATTCTTTTTGTGTCTTTATATTCTTTGGTAATTTTATAGACACTTGACAGACCCACGCCAGTCATCTCAGAAGTCTTTTTTAGCACATTCCGTTGCACTCCAATCAGTTGTTTGCGGCCAATTTTCTATATTATATTTGTAAATATTTAGAATTATGGTCTTTTCGTTGGGCGTAAAAGCACCACGAGGACGCTTCTTTCTGGGAGAAAGAAAGTCTAAGCCTTGTGCTCTGTCAGATGGGGCTGCTTCCCGGGAAGGGCCAGGTTGTGGCTCCATAACGTTTATAAAAATCAACAAACGATCACAAAACGAAAGGTCAACAAGAAAAAACTTAACAGAATAACAGAAACTTAACAAATATAACAAGATAATAACAACAAATAGCAGCAAACACCGAGAACACATGCGCATTCGAGCATTCAAAGAAGTCGAATGAAAATCAATCAATGTGACAGACGCGACGTGACAGCTAACATTTTTTTAAAAGGTTTTTTAAACCTGGAATTAGTAGACAGTGATGCCAGCTAAAGAATAAAATATTAAGTAATTAAAGTTAATTAGATATATTGTTCGTGATATTGAAATATTTGTTATTTTTGTATTAGGTGACTTGTATAAGTAAATATTTAGATTTACCTTTTTGTAGGTGAAACATAAAAAATACGTAGCATTTTATTATTTATTGCCCTCAAATGGTTCAAATTTGTCTCTTTTTCGGTGGAGAACTTTTTTAGTAGCAACACTTACGAAATGTCAGAATTCTACGGAATGAAAAATCAGAGTTTAGATTCTATAGATTTCTTTTTTGATAGACAGTACGGATTTCGTTCTAAAAGTAATACACTCACAGCTACAATTGATCTGGTAACTAAAATCAAACAAAACATTGATAAGAAAAACATCGTACTAGGAGTATTCATCGATTTAAAAAAGGCGTTTGACACCGTAAGTCATAAACTGCTCTTAAAAAAACTGGAAGTCATTGGTATTACTGGCATAGCCTTAAAATGTTTGAGTCTTACCTCACGAATAGATCCCAGGTCGTTAAAATAGACAGTAGTTCTCAAAGTTCCCCACAACCCATAACCTATGGAGTTCCATAAGGTTCAATATTGGGTCCTCTGCTCTTTTTAGTCTCATCATCATCATCATTACAGCCCTTCACAAGTCCACTGCTGAACATAGGCCTCCCCCAAGTAATGCCACAAAGCACGGTCCTGAGCCACCTGCATCCATCGACTTCCTGCATGTCTTACCAGGTCGTCACTCCATCTAGTGGGGGGTCGTCCTACACTACGCCTACCGGTACGAGGCTGCCACCCGAGAACCTTTCTTCCCCATCGGTTATCGGTTCTTCGAGCTATATGGCCGGCCCATTGCCACTTCAGCTTACTAATCCGTTGGGCTATGTCGGTCACTCTGGTTTCACTGCGGATATCCTCATTTCTGAGTCTATCACGCAGTGAAACTCCGAGCATAGCCCTCTCCATAGCTCGCTGAGCGACCTTGAGCGTCCTCATACGGCCAGCGGTGAAGGACCACGTCTCAGATCCGTAAGTCATCACTGGCAACACGCATTGGTTATACACTTTAGTTTTCAGAGATTGAGGTATACCTGACGAGAAGATGTGTCGTAATTTCCCGAACGCTGCCCAGCCGAGTCGAATCCGTCGATTGACCTCTCGGTCGAAGTTGGACTTACCTAGTCGGACTATTTGTCCCAGGTAAACGTACTCGTCAACAACTTCGAGCATAGTGCTCCCAACAACTACCGGCATAGGTGTGACATGGACATTAAACATGATCTTTGTTTTGTCCATGTTCATCTTAAGACCTATCCGTTGGGAGACACCATTGAGGTCATTGAGCATAGTGCTAAGGTCCTCCAGCGATTCTGCCATAAGAACTATATCGTCGGCAAATCGAAGGTGAGTGATGTACTCGCCATTGATGTTAATACCGTATCCTTTCCAGTCCAGTAGCTTGAAAACGTCTTCCAACGCAGCGGTGAAGATTTTCGGGGATATAAAATCACCCTGTCTTACACCTCTCTGCAGTTGGATAGGTTTCGTACTCTGGTTCTGTACTCGGATAGCCATCGTACCCCTACTGTACAAACACTTCAGCACTTCAATATACCGATAGTTAACTAGGCACCGCTGAAGAGACTGTAGCACCGCCCAAATTTCGACGGAATCAAAGGCTTTCTCATAGTCCACATACGCCAGGCAAAGTGGCAGATTGTACTCTTCGGACTTCTGTACAATTTGCCGAAGGGTATGTATGTGGTCTATGGTACTGAAGCCTTTTCGGAAACCGGCTTGTTCGGGAGGCTGGAAGTCGTCGAGTCTGCGTGCGAGACGATTCGTAATGACTCTCGAAAACAGCACGTAGACGCGGCTCAGAAGGGAAATCGGTCTGTAGTTCTTCAAGAGAGCGTTGTCGCTTTTCTTAAAGAACAAGATCACCGCGCTTCTGATCCACGCCTCCGGGTAGTGCCACCATGGAGGACGGAATTGAAGAGCTTCTGAAGGACTTCAAGTACCGGTGTTCCACCCGCTTTCAGAAGCTCCGCTGTAATTCCATCCTCGCCCGGGGCCTTGCCGTTTTTAAGGTGGTGGAGAGCCATTCTAATCTCGCTCAGACTGACGTCCGGGATAGGAATAGTGTCGGATAAGACTTGCTCTTGGATCGTTACTCACACTTGCGTGTGGCTCCAACGATGATGTGTACAGCTGCCCATAGAACCTCTCAATC